TGTCCCCTGGGTACAGCGAATTGGGGCCACTGCTCAGGAACCCGCAGGCCAGACCGATTGGCTGGCGTGGTCGGTCCCGGAAGTGATGGGTTCATCACTTTCGCGCCCCCCTCCCCCCGCTTACTGATCCTGACCCTGCTTACTGACCACGATCAAGTCACCTCTTAACCTTTAATAATCTCTTCAGTAATAAATTACGTTGATTAAGCTCCTTAAATCTTTCACTATAAAGCAGGATTTCCAGACTTCGGATCATTCTAGTGCCTCATCTCTCAACCCTTTTCCAATTTTTCAACATCTCTGGGAAAGTATGGGTGCCAGCACTGGACACAGTACTCCGCCATGGCCTCACCAATGCTGCATACAGAGGGAAACGCACCTGCCACTCCTCCTGCCGTGACAGCGCGCTAGCTAAAGAGACAGAGATATGTAGCTTTGGGCCCAAGTACATTTCATACCGTGGGCACGTTTTTTACATATTACAATTTATTTTTGTAGCTTCACCACCGTGCTAGGCACTTTACAGGCAAACATGAAGATAAGGCCCCTGCTCCCACGAGCGTACCATCTAACACACAGCAGAGGCCACAGCTCTACCACTGACAGGAGTCCGCAGTACACGATGCTTGGGGAAAGGCCTGTGCATAACCCTCTTCTGCCTGTCACTGGGGCAGGCGCACCAGGCTTTGTGGCACTCGTTCATTAAGAGTTGCTATGATACCTAAGTGGGAGGCCCCTAGTACCTCATGGCCAGAGGTGAAAGTAAGCCGGTACGCCCCGGGACAGTGTACCGGCAAGAGCCGTACCAAGGCGGATTGGCTTCCCCTGGCAGCAATTTAAAGGGCCTGGGGCTCCCAGCAGCGGCTGGAGCCCCGGGCCCTTTAAATTGCCACCAGAGCCCAGCTGCAGGAGCTCTGGGGAAGCGGCGGTGGGGCTCGGGTGGCAATTTAAAGGATCAGGGGCTGCGGCAGCCGCTATTGCCCGGCCCTTAAAATAGCTGCCGGAGCCCCACCGCTGCCTCCCCAGGGCTCTGGCAGCAGGGCTCCGGGGACGATTTAAAGGGTCCAGGGCTCCGGTAGCCGCTACAGCCCCGGGCCCTTTAAATTGTCCCCAGAGCCTGCGGCGGCGGGGCTCAGGCAGCTATTTAAAGGGTCCGGGGCTGCAGCAGTCGCTACCGCCCCAACTCTCTTAATGGCTATCCGTGCGTCTCTGAACCCTCTCCGTTGTCAAGCCCAGCCGGTTCCATTGCCCGAGGGTAGTGAGGGAATGGGTTATCAGTGAGGCGGGGATGGGCGCGAGCCCAGCCAGTATGGGCAATCCCCACCAAGATCTGAGCCTTTTCTCACACACCCGCTAGGGCTCGAATTTATGCTGGTTGGGACCCCTCATTGAGGAAAGCCTCTGGATGCAAGTCCAACTGCTATCTCCTCGTGGTGAGAGTCAGTAAGTGGCTTGGATAGCCAGGCGGATTGTGGAAGACAAACCCCTGTCCCTTTTGAGGTGGGGGATGGGGTTGGGCAGCCCCAATGTAGCTGCCCCCTGGTAAGGGTTGACTTCCCCAGGTATGGGTTAGCTTGCCCCTGGTAAGGGTATATCTTTTAAATATGGAAAAAAGTAATTTATATTTTTATACTGAAGTGGCGCTGGACCGGGTTAACAACACCCTGGCTGTCGGCTTCGATGCCCCGGCTGACGGTGTCCAATATATTAGGGGTGTGATTAGGGTTGCTAGACCCATGGATAAGACTGTTTGGAATGAGACAATACCTCAGGAGAATGAGATTTGAGACCTCCCAATGGAAAAGAAAAAGGGAGTTGAGGAAGATGAGATTATAGGTAAGGACCAAGGTGAAGGGATTTTATCTATTTTACCTATGGTTTTTACAAAGGACACTTTTAATAATTTATCTATGGACAATTTTAATCCAGATTTTGAGTATTTAAGTACATTTGACAATCCGTATTTTAAAGAACCTGGGCATTTTAATATTAATTCATCAAATGTTTTTAATTTTAATATTATTGATTCATCAATTTCTCTTAACTCCAATATGGCTTTTAATGACCGTACTGGAAATAACTCAAATATATCAAAAAGTAGTTTATGGAAAGATGGGGTTTTCTATTTGGAATACCCGGTTGATAATTTTAATTGTCCCATTTGCCCTCAGATCTTACCAGCATTTGGTAAATGGGCAAAACATATTCATGTTGTTCATAAAAGTAAGGCCATAAGAGCAATATGTAAAAAGTGTGGAAAGTCCTCTCACTATCATAACATAGCTTCCCACTCCCCCAAGTGCGAGCCCAGGGAGGTGGATACCCCAGCAAAAAGCCATACCTGCTCTATCTGTGGGCTGGCATTCCATACCAAATCGGGATGAAGCCAACACTGCCGACACAGGCACCCCGCCATTAGGAACGAACAAAGAAAGAAAAATATAGCAGCAAAAAGTAAGAGTAGAGAGGTATCTTCTCGATCTCGTATCCGGACTAATGAGGAGATCGAGCAGCTTATACAATTAGAAAATAAATACTTAGGGAAAAGGAATATAAATAAATGTATAGAAAGTGAGTTAAGGACTAAAACTAACAAACAGATGTCAGATAAAAACCGAGAATTGACAAAGAAGAAAGTGGTGATAGTTGGATGTAAGGATGAAATGAGAGAGGTAGAGAAATTTAAAGAAAATATATTAGAAGCTCCTCCCTCGAGAGAAAGGATCTTACCATTGAAAGGACATCCAAATATGGATCAAGTGGGAAAAAAAAATCAGTAAGCAGGAGAAACAGAGTAGGGAGGGATGGGAGATAGTAAATAGCCTACAGGAGATTGAAATGCTATTAAAGGAGAATCTAACAAAAGCACCTGGATGGGCTATGTTAGAAAAGCTCTGTAATTCATTAGTGGGGGAAAATGTTAACAGGAATGAGGAACAACTAGAGCTGAGAAATAAGGGGAAGAGAGGGAAGAGAGAAACAGTCCAGTGCTATTACAAAATATGCCACCAAGAAGGCAAAATTTAAGTTTTATCAACAGTTATTTGGTAAGGATAGGAGAAGATTAGCCCGAATTATAATGGTTAAAAATGTGGGTATTTTCGAGTGCTTCTGTAGCAATACTAATCTTCGTATTAATGTGAAGACGATGAAAGGTTTTCACATTTTATCAAAATACAAAACGTATATAGTGAATCCAAAAGATAATTGAATATAGGGACTGAGAAAATTGAGTACATTCAACCGGGGGAATTTGAATAATGTCTAGGTGCAAGAATAGATCCCTGGATAGGGATAGGAGGGTTGTCACTCAGGGAGAAATTGAATGAATGGAGTGAGAGTTTGATTAAGGCCCCCTTGAAACCGGCTCAGAAATTATTGATTTTACAAACATTCATTTTACCAAGGCTATTTTATAATGTACTTTTAATAGAACTCCCTTTTTATCTTTTAAATGATTTGGATATGTCAGTCAGAAAAATAGCCAAACAAATTTTACTTCTACCGCAATGCACCACTGATGGATTATTTTATTCAAGAGGGAGGGATGGAGGTCTTGCACTCACGAAGTTTAGTATACAGATTCCAAATATGTTAATTCGAAAATGGAGGAGACATATTGTCTCCAAAGATAATTGGATAGATCTATCTGATTTATATGCCGGAGAAAATCTAATTGATAAGATGTTTAATGCAGCAACACCCCATCCTAGAAAATGAAGAGAAGAAGAATTTTTAAGATGTGTGAGTTGAGGTGTCAGGGAGTAGGAATAAAGTATTTTTAAAATGATACAATTAGCAATTCAATTTTTTAAAATTCTAGTAAGATTAAGTCTTCTTCATATATTACAGCACTTCAACTCAGAGCAAATATTTACCCCACTAGGGAGACGTTAGCGAGAGGAAGAGGGGGAGTAAATGCTTTTTGTAGGTGGTGTGGTAAGGTGCGAGAGACGATACCCCACATATCTGGTCAATGTTATAAAATCAAGGATGAAAGAATTAAAAGACATAATAGAGTAGTATCTGCAATTATAGATAAGGTTGTTAAATTAGGATGGAAGGCATTAGTAGAACCCCATTTAAGAAATAGCAGGGGAGAGCTGAGAAAACCAGATATTATATTTACTAAGGGTGATATGGCGGTGGTGGTGGATGTCACAGTGCGCTGGGAAGATAATGCCAGGAGTTTGGAGCAAGCCCATAGAGAGAAGGTGGCTTATTACCTCAAATTAGAGGAAGAGATCAAAAACTTAATGGGTGGTAAAAATACTTCTTTGGCCTCGTGCTTGGGGCGCGTGGCACGTGGAGTGATGGAAACAATGATCTGTTGAAAATATTAGGAATTGAGAATGGTTTTAAATACTTATTATAAATACATAATAAATGGATTATATCCTATTTTAAATGATTTTTTTTTTACTGGATTTGGATGCGGACTGGCCGCTTAGAGTAACCAGGAAAGGGCAGGTAGTCACACCTGTACATAAATAGCTGCCGGAGCCCCGCCGCCGCTACCCCAGGGCTCCGGCAGCAGGGCTCTGGGGATGATTTAAAGGGTCCAGGGTGGTAGCGGCTGCCAGAGCCCCAGGCCCTTTAAATCACCGCCCGAGCCCCCGGCTGCTGCTGCTACCCCGGGGCTCCAGCAGCGCAGCTCGGGGCTCCCACTGCCGCTACCCTCCGGGGCCCTTTAAATTGCCACCCGAGCCCCGCTGCTGGAGCCCTGGGGTAGCTGCGGCAGGGCTCTGGCAGTGATTTAAAGGGCCAGGGGCCCCCCGCTGCTGCTACTGCAGCGGAGCCCCCCCCTTTCCCGGTTGAGGTCACACCTCTTCCGGTTGAGGCTCCGCCCCTCCTAAGGACTCCGGAGTATCGGTAAGTCCTTTAAGTTACTTTCACCCCTGCTCATGGCAGCAGCAACAGCATGGCGCAGCCAGCTGGTGGGTGCAGTGGAGCAGGGTCAAGCACTCCTGAAGTCCAGCTGTCTTTTTTGGGGGGTGCGGGGGGGTGGGGGGGAGGACAGACACTGCCAGCTCCAAGAGGAGCAGCGTGGAGGGAGCCATTAAGAATGGACCGATGCTTTCAGTGAGAGAAGTGGCATTAGGGATGCTTGTCGCATGTATTTATACCTGAGGTAACCCCAGTGTTTGCTCCACCCAGCGGATCGGCATCTGCATTGAGCGACCCCATTCAGCAGACCCTACCGGGCATGGGGAGATGAACTGCTCTAAAGTCAGCGGGTCCCGTGGCGGGGGCGCTGCGAGCCCGGTGGAGCAGCCTAGCAAGCCGCGGAGAATATCTGGCTAGGTACTGACCTGCCATCCCTGCAGAATCTAAGTACCTCAGAACGGTGCGCAGATTTGGCCTCACAACCACCCCCGGCAGCAGGGCCCTGCTCTTATCCCGACTATGCAGCTGAGACCTACAGCCAGAGAGACTGGCCCAAGGGCCCACACAGAGTCTACAGCAGAGCTGGGGATTGAGTCCTGGTCTCCTGGACCCCCACACCAGTGCCTTGACCCCCCACACATATACACACACTCACCGTCCCACAATCCTCCAATTAATAAAGCCAGAGAGAGGAGCACTCTTCTAGAGCCTGGGCGTGGAGGAAACACACAATGGGCCAGCTGGAGACACTGGGTCAGTGATTTGGATGCATCCAATGGATTTCAGCCCATATCAGGACAAGGGACAATCCAACCCCCCCCCCACACACACACACACATGTGGCAGATCCCATTCCCTACAGGTATTTCTCATGCTCCACAAGATGGTGGAGACAGGACAAAGGGTGGAGGTGGCTACCGCTCCCACTGACCACACTGCCCTGGAGCAACACTAGGGAGGAACAAGATCTTAGGTCAAGTGCCAGATTCTGCTCCCAGTTACAGCAGCGTAAACACCACTGAATTCAGTGGAGTTGCTCTGGATTTACATCAGTGTAACAGAATTTAGCCCCAGGAAAAGTTCTGACTATGGCATGAAAAGAGGGTTTGAGATGTCATAGAGAAAAACGTCTGATGGGGCTGGCTTTGCATGGGGAGAGGGAGCCAAAACGCCTCTGCACAGCGCCAGCCGCACTTCCAGGAAGGAGCTGATGGATGGTGTGAATCTATCTCCAGCACTCGATTCCCCAAAGGCTGGGCGAGGGAGGGATCACAGCCGAGCCCCCATCAGCTAGCAGAGAGGTGCACAATGTGTGCATGCAGCGCTGGCGCTTAGAGAAATACAGCTCCCATATCACAGTCTGCACAGTAACACGGGGCCGAAGCGGCAGAGAGCTGGTGAGAAAGGCAGTTGTACTTGGAGGTACATGGGAAGCTGTGCTTTGAGCTCTCACAGCAGGACCTCCTGCAGAGGGATCTTTGCAGCAGTGGGTACAGGTGGGTCACGGTCACCTTGATTTTCAAATAACGGCAAGTACCAGAAATGCCCCATGATGTCAGTATGAGATCGCCCTCTAGAGGTGGCGCTGTTACCTTGCTTGTGCATCATTTGAGCAAAGTAACAGTAAGCGAGGCACCCACATAGCTCCTCCTTTACTCTGACGGGTGATGCAGCAAAACGGTTTGATCTGAGGACCTGGGGCAGGGGTGGAGCCAGCAGGGCGTCATCGCTCCAGTACCCTGCCTACCGCTGTGAGTTATCGCTATCCAGAGGGCTCAGCTAAAGGGTTGTTGTGAGTCCCAGCACTTCGACCGTCCTGACTCCTTGGCGCTGACATCCTCCACCACAACGTTGCATGAACGTGTTGGTTTCCCCCTGGCAATGGAGATCTCCTGGCATATTTAAGGCTGACAATGCAGCATGAGGGGAGCAGGACGGGAGCAGGTGAGCACCTTAGTCACAGGGGCACCGGAGCAGCTACTCATTTAGCAATGATAAGGCACAGAGTCAGGAGCCGGACGGGGCACTGGATTCCAGGGTTCTCGCCTGCTGCCCATCACCGAAGTATCTGAGCACCTTCAGGAAGAGAAGTTCTACTGGACCTACTGCCAACTCGTTGCCATATGTGTGTCTTTCCCGGGCTCCCCGAGGGACTCTGACTCTACAGCCCTTTCCACCCGTTCAGCCCCTTCCCAGGCCTTTCCCGTGGGGCACTGCAACTTCAGCTTGTGCGTGAGGCTCTCACATGCTGGGTTCATCAGCTGAGCTCCTCTCCTGCTTCGGGCTCCCAGATGCTCACGAAAGCGAGTGCTCCCCCTGAAACATTCTACAGGCTCGGGGGGTTTACAGGGGCTCTCTGCCCGCAGCCTTGCGAGGGCCTTGCTGGGGTTGCCTCCTCTCGGAAGGCTTCTGCCCATCCAGCCGGGCTCTCTTGCGTGCGTGGGATCGCTGGTGTTGGAGAAGGTTTGTGCTCTGGCTGAAGCTTGTCTCGCAGTCAGGACAGTGGTAAGGTCCCTCCCCGGTGTGGAGTCGCTGGTGCTTAAGAAGGGCTGAGTTCCGGCTGAAGCTCTTATCACACGCAGAGCATCTATGGGGCCTCTCCGCGCTGTGGACTCTCTGGTGGCTCGTATACTGCTGCTTGCAGCGGAAGGTCCTTTGGCACGTGGGGCATCGGTAGGGGTTCTCCCCCACGTGGATCCTCTGGTGCCACATGAATTCCTGCTTGTAGCGGAAGCTCTTCTCACAGCCCAGGCACTTGTAGCTCTTCTCCCCGGCGTGGCTCCGCTGGTGCCACGTGAACTCTTGCTGGTAGCGGAAGTGCTTATCGCAGGTGGGGCATTTGTACGGCCTGTCGCCCACGTGGGCTCTCTGGTGCCAGGTGAATTCTTGCGGGTAGCGGAAGCTCTTCTCGCACTCGCTGCACTTGTACGGCCTCTCTGCTGCGTGGGCCCGCTGGTGCCAGACCAGCTCCTGCTTGGAGCGGAAGCTTTTCTCGCACCCGCTACATTTATAGAGCCTATCGCTGAGGTGGGCTCTCTGGTGCCACGTGTATTCCTGCTTGTAGCAGAAGCTTTTCTCGCACTCGGGGCATCTATATAGTCGCTCTTCTGGGGGGATTCTCTGGGGCAGGGACTGGGCTGGGCTTTGCTCACAGCGAGCGCGCAGACAGGGGGTCTCTCCTGGGGGGATTCTCTGGGGCAGGGGCAGGGGCTGGGCTGGGCTTTGCTCACAGCGAGTGCGCAGACAGGGGGTCTCTCCTGGGGGGATTCTCTGGGGCAGGGGCAGGGGCTGGGCTGGGCTTTGCTCACAGCGAGTGCGCAGACGAGGGGGTCTCTCCGTGGGGGGATTCTCTGGGGCACGAGGCGTGGGTTGGGCTGTGCTCACAGCGAGCGCGCAGACAGGGGGTCTCTCCTGGGGGGAGTCTCTGGGGCAGGGGGCTGGGGCTGGGCTGTGCTCACGGCGAGCGCGCAGACAGGGGGTCTCTCCTGGGGGGATTCTCTGACATGCATTAAGATGAGAGCTCTCCCCACGGCTCCCCTTGCATTTGGGGCAAATGGAGGGCTCTGCTCCCAGGGGCGTCCCGCCGTGACCGCCAGCAGCTGGCGGGGGAGTGAACCATTTCTCACACTGGATGCATTTATACAGAGTCTCTGCAGGAGTGAATGGCTGGGGAGCAAGGACGTCCAAGGGCCAGAACCTGTCCTCAACCACACGCAGGCATCCCCCAGAGAGTTCAAAGGGAGCCGCCTGCTCACATCCCAGGGAGCAGCGTTGCCAGGTGGCTGCAGTGAGCCCGCTTTGCCAAGGAGGGGGTGGCTCCACTCCACTTCTGGCAGAGTTTCCCTGATGATCTTCTGAGCTGGACTGAGCCTGACAGACTAATTCCCTGTCCGAGCTCTGGAGGCCACGTTCTAACAGCCTGGGCCCTTCCAATTCCCTGAGAGTCTCCTGCGGATGAGTCTCCTTCTTCCCCCTGATCTCGGCAACTGCTGCAATGGAGAGAGAATCCAGCTGTTATTTATTGCATGGGCTGGAGAGAACGGAAAGCTCCTTTGAATACGTTCAGCCTATAGTGCAGTTAACATAATTATAGAGCAGCAGTCAGTGACATCCTGGGTTTATTTTAGGGCTGTCAATTAATCACAGTTAACTCACGCGATTAACTCAAAAAATTAATTGTGATTAATCGCAGTTTTAATTGCACTGTTCAACAAGAGAATACCAAGTAAATGTATTCAATATTTTGGATGTTTTTCTACATTTTCAGATATACTGATTTCAATTACAACACGGAATACAAAGTGTACAGTGCTCACTTTACATTATTACTTTTGATTACAAATATTTGCACTGTAAAAATGATAAACAAAAGAAATTGGATTTTTCAGTTCACCTCATACAAGTACTATAGAGCAATCTCTTTATCATGAAAATGCAACTTACTAATGTAGATTTTTTTTGTTACATAACTGCACTCAAAAACAAAACAATGTAAAATGTTAGAGCCTACAAGTCCACTCAGTCCTACTTCTCGTTCAGCCAATCACTAACACAAACAAGTTTGTTTACATTTATGGGAGATAATGCTGCCCACTTCTTATTTACAATGTCACCAGACAGTGAGAACAGGCGTTCGCATGGGACTTTTCTAGCCGTCATTGCAAGGTATCTATATGCCAGATATGCTAAACATTCGTATGCCCCTTCATGCGTCGGCCACCATTCCAGAGGACATGCTTCCATGTTGATGACGCTCATTAAAAAAATTATGTGTTAATTACATTTGTGGCTAAACTCCTTGGGGGAGAACTGTATGTCTCCTGCTCTGTTTTACCCGCATTCTGCCCTACAGTTCATGTCACAGCAGTCTCAGATGATGACCCAGCACATGTTTATTTTAAGAACACTTTCATTGCAGATTTGACAAAGCTGCAAAGAAGGTACCAATGTGAGATTTCTAAAAATAGCTACAACTCTAGAATGAAGATTTAAGAATCTGAAGTGCCTTCCAAAATCTGAGAGGGATGAGGTGTGGAGCAGGCTTTCAGAAGTCTTAAAAGAGCAACACTCTTATGCAGAAACTACAGAACCCGAACCACCAAAAAAGAAAATCAATCTTCTGCTGGTGGCATCTGACTCAGCTGATGAAAATGAACATGGCTCGGTCCGCACTGCTTTGGATGGTTATCGAGCAGAAACCATCATCAGCATGGAAGCACGTCCTCTGGAATGGTGGTTGAAGCATGAAGGGACATATGAATCTTTAACGCATCTGGCATGTAAATATCTTGCAGCGCTGACTACAAAAGTGCCATGCAAACATCTGTTCTCACTTTCAGGTGACACTGTGAACAAGAAGTGGAAGCATTATCTCCTGCAAATGTAAATGAACTTGTTTGTCTGAGCAGCTGGCTGAACAAGAAGTAGGACTGAGTGGACTTGTAGGCTCTAAAGTTTTATATTGTTTTATTGTTGAAGGCAGGTTGTTGGTTTTTTTACATAATTCTACATTTGTAAGTTTAACTTTCATGATAAAGAGATTGCACTACAGTACTTGTATTAGGTGAATTGAAAAATAGTATTTCTTGGTTTTTACAGTGCAAATATTTGTAATAAAATATAATATAAAGTGAGCACTGTACACTTTGTATTGTTATAATTGAAATCAATATATTTGAAAATGTAAAAAACATCCAAAATATTTAAATATTTAAGTATTCTATTGTTGTTTAATAGCATGATTAATCCCAATTAATTTTTTTAATTGCGCAATTTATCGTGATTAATTTTTTTAATCGCTTGACAGCCCTAGTTTATTTCAATGACATTAACATTTTGTTTCTATAGCATTCCCATGAGATTGGACTTTCAGCCATGCACCAGCTGGAAAACTCCTGCCCAGTTTTATGTAGAAATTATGAGCAAAATCCTGGTTCCGTTAAAGTCAATGAGAATTTTGCCATTGACTTCAGTGGGGTCAGGATCTCACCCCAGAACTACATCCTACTTGGCAATCTGCATGCAGAGGGCCCAAATCAGATCTACTGGACGTGGGTCAACTTCATTAACATGAATGCAGCTCCAGCTGCGTACGCAAGGTCTGCCTTTGGCCTTCCTGGGTCAATACGTCTCACAAATGTTTCTGAAGTCGCTCACTAAGCTTTAAGGGTGAAGTCCTGGCCCTTTGGAAGTCAAGAGGAGTTTTGCTATGGACTGCAGTGAGGCCAGGAGAGATCATTTCTGACCTGTTAATTGGATTCCTCTGATATTATGTCATAGCTAATCAGAAAGTCAATCCAGTGTAACAAAGTGGAGAGAGACAGACAGAGGTTTGTTAAAGGGTTTCCATTTGCTTGCAGCGAATAAATAGCAGTCAGACAGGGCATTGATTGACAGCCTCTGTCCTCTGCTAGGAAGGGGAGGAGCTCTCAAACTACCAATTTGGCGATTTGGTCAATTCTAGATCAGCTTGGGAAAGAAGGAGTGGCTGTTCTCTGTGACCTTCTTTTGCTCCCAGCAAGAGAATGCCCTCTCCACTCCACTCAAATTCCACTTTAGCAGCCTCTGCTTTGCTCCCCAGAGCCGTTCACCCACGAGCAAGGGAAAATGAAGACCCCCGTTGCTATTTCCAATGGGAGTGGAAATATAGCGGTGGGGATGCCTGGCTGACACCTGCCAAAATGATGCGCCAGTAACAACAGTTACTGCATTTGTTCCTGGGAGCAAAGAGGTAATTGCCAGCACGCAGGAAGGGGCACGTTGTTTCCGAACGGTTTGGAAATCGTTACTCACAGAAGAAGTTAAAAGCTTTTCCATTCCCAGAGTCCTTGTGACCCTTGACATACGGCTCTTCCCCACGTTCAATCAGCCAGATAATGTCAGGTTTAATGGCAGCATGACCTGGTGATGGGAGAAGAGAATTATCTATCGAGCCTAGGTACTTAGCTGGCCCCTCACAATCGCTAATGTGTTTATCCTCACAAGCCCCTGTGCAGCCGGGCAAGGCAGTTATCCCCATTTTATAGATGGGGAACTGAGGCCCAGAGAACCCGGTGACTTGCCTAAGGTCCCCAGACAGTCTGTGGTGGAGCAGGGAACTGAACTCAAGACTCTCAAGTTCTAGACGAGCGCTCTGACCACTGGACTGTCCATCCCACCTAATGTGTAGCTCAGCAATTACTCACTGTCCTGTCAGCGTTTTAAAATGACACTCCTGATTTAACCCCAGCCCAGTGTATGAACTACCCGGGAAGAGAGTGAAGATCCAGAGGCAAAAAAGCCTTGTGGATTGAGATGAGCTGAACAACTCATGCGAGACTCAGGTACCTGCACTTCCTGTCGAGGCATGAACGATACACAGTGCCCTCCTTGGCCTCAGCCACTAGCCCACTTACATCCGAACTTCTCCCCAGACACAGGAACGTCTCCATTCTGCTCCCACAATGGTACCACACAGCGTGCAGGGAGCGCTCTCTATGGAGCCCTGCCTTGGGCAGAGTTTGTACAGCATGTGCAGTGGTTATAGGCACCAGCGAGGACCAGGATGTGTTGCAGGGGGAGTTTAATAAATGGAAGGACCGCCCGGTCAGGGAGTTCTCTGGGTGGTGCTTAAGGCAGTTCTCTTTGTTTCATGTAATCACACTACAGAGCATGACTTAAGCTCTCTTATTTGGGGGCTGCATCTTCTAATGAATGAGTGACCACTAATCGTTACCCAGGGAGATCAAAGCCTTGTAGTTGTCCCTCATCACGTCCTTGTACAGCTCCTTCTGCCATTCCGCGAGCTCCTCCCACTCCTCCGCGGAGAAATACACAGCGACGTCGTCAAACGTGACTGGAGCCTGAAAGAGCAAATAAACCGTGATCAGCAGCCTCTACTTCAGTCACACCCTGAGAGCAGCAGCCCTGGGTCCCGGCAGGGCAGGGAGAGCGTTTCCTGCGTGTGTAACACACGCTGACAACACACGTTGCTGCTGGTGCCTCCAGGATGTGAATCCCCCGGGACAGCTCACACCTGTCACCGCAGGGCTCTGATGCAGGGACGGGGAGCAGCAGCCTGGCCTTTGTCTCGGTGGCAATCTCCTGCTGAAGCAGCACCCAATGCCTCCCCGCCTAGCTGCAGGAACCATGTGTTTGGACTAGAGACGTCAGCTGTTTATTAGGCCCCACTGACTAGCAAATCCAACCTGTCACTCACACCAGCGTTTACGTCACTCCCGATCTTGTCCCAGAGACTCCGCTGGCAAATGCAAGCTGCATACGGCTGGGTCTGGCCCATCGTTTGTCAGGGCCAAGATGGAACATTTCACTGTGACTCATGGGATGAGGTTCTGGCTAGGAAACACCCATTAACAGCTCCTCACAGCCACCAGGCAGGGAGCTATTTACATGAAAGATGCTGTGATTCATTAACGCAGGTGTAGGACATTCATGATACATGCAGGCTGCATTATAATTCAGTCTTCAGCGCATTTTCATAGATAAATAGACTTTCAGGTCAGAAGGGACCAATATGATCATCTAGTCTGACCTCCTGCACAACACAGGCTGCAGAATCTCACACACCCACTCCTGTATCAAACCCCTAACCTATGGCTGAGCCATTGAAGTCCTCAAATCACGGTTTAAAGACTTCAAGGTGTAGAGAATCTTCCAGCAAGTGACCCATGCCCCACGCTGCAGAGGAAGGCAAAAAAACTCCAGGGCCTCTGCCAATCTGCAGTGGAGGAAAATTCCTTCCCGACCCCAAATATGGCGATCAGCTAAACCCTGAGCATGTGGGCAAGACTCACCAGCCAGCATCCAGGAAAGAATTCTCTGTAGTAACTCAGATCCAACCTCATCTAATATCCCATCACAGGCCATTGGGCATATTTACCACTAATAGTCAAAGATCAATTAATTGTCAAAATGAGGCTATCCCATCATACCATCCCCTCCATAAACTTATCAAGCTTAGTCTTGAAGCCACATATGTCCTTTGCCCCCACTACTCCCCTTGGAAGGCTCTTCCAGAACTTCACTCCTCTGATGGTTAGAAACCTTCATCTAATTTCAAGTCTAAACTCCCTGATGGCCAGTTTATATCCATTTGTTCTTGTGTCCACATTGGTACTGAGCTGAAATAATTCCTCTCCCTCTCTGGTATTTATCCCTCTGATACATTTGTAGAGAGCGAACATATCTCCCCTCAGCCTTCTTTTGGTTAGGCTAAACAAGCGGAGCTCTTTGAGTCTCCTTTCATAAGACAGGTTTTCCATTCCTCGGATCATCCTAGTGGCCCTTCTCTGTACCTGTTCCAGTTTGAATTCATCCTTCTTAAACATGGGAGACAAGAACTGCACACGATATTCCAGATGAGGTCTCACCCAGTGCCTTGTATAACTGTACTAACACCTCTTTATCTTTACTGGAAATACCTCGCCTGATGCATCCCAAGACCGCACTAGCTTTTTTAATGGCCATATCACATTGGCAGCTCATAGTCATCCTGCGATCAACCAATACTCCGAGGTCCTTCTCCTCCTCTGTTGCTTCCAACTGATGTGTCCCCAATTTATAACCAAAATTCTTGTTATTAATCCCTAAATCACTTTTTTTTCTTTCTTAAAAATAGGAATTATGTTAGCAATTCTCCAGTCATACAGTACAACCCCTGAGTTTACAGATTCATTAAAAAATCTTGCTAATGGGCTTGCAATTTCATGTGCCAGTTCCTTTAATATTCTTGGATGAAGATTACCTGGGCCCCCTGATTTAGTCCCATTAAGCTGTTCGAGTTTGGCTTCTACCTCAGATATGGTAATATCTACCTCCATATCCTCATTGCCTTTTGTCATCCTGCCATTATCCCTAAGCTTCTCATTAAAGACTGAGGCAAAGTATTTGTTTAGATACTGGGCTATGCCTAGATTATCCTTAACCCCCACTCCATCCTCAGTGTTTAGCGGCCCCATTTTTCTTTCTTTGTTTTTTGCTTATTTATATGGCTATAGAACTATTGGTTTTAATTCCCTTTGCAAGGTCCAACTCTACACGGCTTTTGGCCTTTCTCACTTTATCCCTACATTTTCTGACCTCAATAAGGTAGCTTTCCTTGCTGATCCCTCCCATCTTCCACTCCTTGTAGGCTTTCTGCTTTTTCTTAATCACCTCTCTGAGATGCTTGCTCATCCAGCTCGGTCTACAACTGCTGCCTATGAATTTTTTCCTCTTTCTTGGGATTCAGGCTTCTGATAGTTTCTGCAACTTTGACTTGAAGTAATTCCAGGCCACCTCTGCCTTTAGATCCACAAGTTCTTCAGTCCAATCCACTCCCCTAACTAATTTCCTTAATTTTTTAAAGTTAGCCCTTTTGAAATCAAAAACCCTAGTCACAGATCTATTTTTCTTTATCTTTCCATTTTGTTTGAAGTGAACTTAGCTCATGATCACTCGAACCAAGGTTGTCCCCTACAACCATTTCTTCTATGAGGTCTTCACTACTCACCAAACTAAATCTAAAATGGCATCCCCTCTTGTTGGTTCAGCAAGTACTTGGTGAAGGAATCCATCAGCTATCGCATCCAGGAAAATCTGAGCCCTATTATTATTACTAGCACTTGTCCTCCAGTCTATATCTGGGAAGTTAGTCTTCTTCCCATTAATGTTTACTTAATTAAAAACATTAAAGAGGCCTCTAACCATATCCAAATCGGATCCCGGCGGTCTGTAGCACACCCCAAGCAGTATCCCAGGGGAGGCTCTAGTAGCTTTCTTTCCCAATGTGATTTTTGCCCAGACAGACTCTGTCTTATCCATTCCATTACTTCTTATATCTTTACAGTTTACCTCATCATTGATATACAATGCTACTCCACCACCCTTGCCTTTATTTCTGTCTTTCCTACACAGCACATACCCTTCAATACCTGTACTCCAGTCATGACTACTATTCCACCATGTTTCTGTTATCCCTATAATATCTGGTTTCACTTCCTGCACCAGTAGCTCTAGTTCCTCCATCTTGTTACTTAGGCTCCTCGCATTAGGGTACAAACATCTTAATTTTTGCTGTTTGGCTTTGCTCACATTCTTTACCCGATTAGGCCCAGACATTCTACCACCAGTATCACCTATTAGACTGGTATCTACACTACCCTTCCTCCTGATGTCCTTTCTCCTACCCACGGCTGTATCCTTTCTTACTTCGTTTTCTTCCCTCTCAATGTTAAAATCCTGCGTGGAGATTACCTGGACATCTTCCACCAAATTCCTAGTCTAAAGCTCTCTTAATCGGTTGTGCCAGCCTCCATCCTAGAAGTCTATTTCCCTCCCTACTCAGGTGCAACCTACCCTCCAGTATTTTTTGGGGGGGGGAGAGGAAGAGGGGAGCATTTTAGCCAGCACCGAATAATGCCTTGAATGAGCTGGGGTGGGATGGGGAAGACTGGTGTGGGGATCAGAGGGCACTTACAGAAGGAACATTGGCATAGGAGTCTTTGCTACATGGGGAACAACACATAATAATAACTAATAACACCTCGCTCCTGTACAGCACTTTTCAAAAGGAGACCTCCACGTGCTTCCCAACCATTAGTGCAGGGGTTCTCAAACTGGGGGTCAGGACCCCTCAGGGGGTGGTGAGGTTATCACATGGGGGGGTCGGGAGCTGTCAGCCCCCACCCAGACCCCGCTTTGCATCCAGCATTTATAACAGTGTTAAATATATTTAATAGTGTTTTTAATGTAGAAGGGGGGGTTTGGACTCAATGGCTTGCTGTGTGAAAGGGGTCACTACGTTAGTGTATTACCCTGACAAGCCAGCCCCGCCCCTGAGCCCGCGGGCGGGGCGGGGCGGCGATGATCCCATTGTACAGATAACAACCGAGGCCCAGAGAGACACTGACTCGGCCCAAGGTCCCCCGGAAAGTCGGTGGCAGGGGGCAATTACCCCTGGGTTAGCGGCGGCGGCAACCCCCCGAGGCGCGCAGCCCCGGCCCCGCTGCAGGCCCCATGGCAAAGCCCTACCTGAGCGGAGCGCGCCCCAGCCATGCCCCGGCCGGCCGGAGCCTCCTCTCCTCGGGCAGCGGCAGGTTCGGTCTCTCGGCTGCAGCTTCCCCGCTGACGGGGCCCCACGCCACGGAGCCCGGCCCGGCCGCCGCGCACTCGCCGGGCAGGAGGGACGGGCCGAGCCCGCTGCAGACGCACAAAGGCAGCAGCTGCCCCGGGGCTCGGGGCGAGCGAGACGCGTTTGCAGCCGCCGCGCTGGAGGTTCCCGAGGCCGTTCAGCCCTCCGCGGGCCGCGCGTCTCCCCGGGACCCCGCCCGCCCCTCCGCCGGCAGCCGAGCCCAGCCCAGCCGAGCCCAGCCCCGCAAGCGCCGCGTCGGGGCCCCGCTCTCCGCGCCCAGCCGCTGCCCGGCCCTGCGCGCCGGCGGCCGGAGCAGCCCCCGGCCGGGGAAGGGGTTTCTCAAACCTGCCGCCCGCGGGCCGCCCAGCCGAGACCCCTTCCCCGCTGGGATGCGCCGCCCTCCGGCTCTGCGGGCCCAGCCCCCGCGGGAAGCCGGGCCGGGGCAGCTGCTGCTGGGTGTGTTGGGCTCGGATCTGGCCTGGGGGCAAGTCCCGGACAGTCCAGTGGCCCCGGGGAGCCGAACAGCAGGACTGGCTTTGCTCACGGGGGCACAGGGGCTGCGGAGCCCAGAGCCGATAGCTGAGAAAGGGGCTGGGGGCACAGGGGCTAGTGGCGCTGGGCAGGGCTGGGGACCTGCTGCTGGGGGGTTGCTCATTCCCCCGAGCACAGCTCTGCTCCGGGGCCTTCTCAGTGCTGGGGGGTGTGTGTGTGCAGACCTGGCAATAAATAAACACCCACATTCTGACCTGGGTCACTGAAGGCAGAACTGTCAGCACCCTCCTAGCAAAGCCGCCCCGCACTGATTGAGAGCTCCCCACTTTCTTCAGACCACTCTAAGCACTGGGCCTTCCAGCCCTTCTGACGGCCAGGAGTTGATGCTGAGCTCAGAGCCCTCTGGGGCCCCTGCCTCCCTCTCTCCCGGCGCTCTGGCTAGTGAGCGATGGGGGGCATTGCCCCAGCAGCTCAGCTGGCCTAGCACGGGTCTTAGGGCTGGGGAGCGGCACTCGGGAGGGCAGCCCATGGCCTAGTGATGCTGGCGAGGGAGAGGAGCAGGTTTAATGCAGCAGGGCAGCACTGGGCCACCACCCAAACAAGACATTCTGAGCTGGTCTCCCTCAGTCCTGCTCGTGCATAGGGTGAAATCCTGGCCCCACGGGGGAGTGTTGCCATTGATCTCAGTGGAGCCAGAGTGAGGCCGGAGCCATGGGCTGGTATCTCCAGTGCTTCGCACAGTGGCGGATTAGCCACCGGGCCAACAGAATCCAGGGGCCCCGGCCAACTGGGAGCCTCTGTAAAAAAAAATATAACAATGGGTGGGGCGAGGGAAGCCCCCACACCCCAACCCCACTCCCAGGTAGCAGTGCCGGGTGGGCAAGGCAGGTCGGGAAGCCCCAGCACCCTCCAACTCCATCCCTGGCAGAAACCACAAGACGGGGGAAGCCCCAGCCCAGCACCCCCCAACCCCGTCCCCGGCAGAAGCCGCAGGGAGGCAGGAGAAGTGCCCAGCCATTCCCCCTCCCTGTCCCCGGCAGAAGCCATGGGGTGGCAGGGGATGTCCCCAGCCAGTGCCCCAACCCAGTCCGTGGCAGAAGCCATGGGGCTGCAGGGGAAGCCCCCGTGCCCAGGGCCGGCTCCAGGCACCAGCATTCCAAGCAGGTGCTTGGGGCGGCAGTCCGTGTGTTTTTGCTGCCCCAAGACGCGCGCCGAATTGCCCCCGCAGACGGCGGGGGCAGTCCGTGTGTGGTTAGGGCGGCACATGCATTTCCGCAGCGGCGGCAATTCGGCGCGCTGCTTGGGGCAGCAAAAACAGTAGAGCTGGCCCTCCCCGTGCCTGACCCCACTTTCCAGCAGAAGTGCTGGGCAGGCAGGGCAGGGAAAGCCCTATCTCCCTGACCCTGGTCCCCTGCAGAAGTGCTGAGGGTGGCAGGGGAAGCCCCAGCACCTGGACCCCCATTGCAGCCCTGGGACTGGAGGAGCTCTCGCTCCCTGCTGCAGCCCCAGAGCTGGGGGGCGGGGAGGGGAGAGCTTCTCCGGTCTTGGGGCCACAGTGGGGTGAGCAAATGGGTTTGGGGGCTGCAATGCGGGGGGCAGAATGGGAGGGATCCTGGGTGGAACAGGGGCAGTGCATTCAAGGGTGAAATAGCATCTGCTCTTTTAAAGGGGCCATAAAATAGCTGCACTGCTTTGTTGGGAGAAAAACTGTTCTGAGTGCAGGATGAGCAATAATTTGGTGGTGTGTGCGAGAGCAGAGAGTTCAATGAATTGTTTGTTTGCCAGAGACAAATTGTACAGCTGGGTGATAGTCTTTAATATGTCTTTACAAGCACACACAGAGAATTCTTTATACAAACATATGCAAAGGTGTATATACATCACACAGGATCGATCTATTGTGTGAAATCGTTGCTAGTTATACTGATCAGTAAACCAGACAGAGAATAACTTTGTCATGTTCAATAAGAGTTAAACATGACTAGCTCCCGTACTGTGTATTCTGCTGCTAGATTAGAAGGCAACAACCACAGACTGCAGAGTTGTAGAATCTTTTCCACCAGATTTTGCAGAACTCTCATTTAAAATGGAAATCTGTTTCCTAACCCTTTGGGTTGCAATGAAACCTGCAAAGCGATGCACAATAGAGCCCTGCTGGAACTTGTCTTCCACTAACCGGTGTCCTTAGTGGATGTCTGTCCCGCACTCGCCTCCATTCCCAGTAAAAACTGAGCTTTGAGCCCAGGGAAGAGAAGGGGAAAGCTGATGATATTAAGCAGAACAAGTTACCGCAGAACGTTTTGCTGTTCCCACGTCTCAATGGGACTGGGCCTGCAGCATTTTTCTGTCATGCTACTTGAGCAGAAAAGAGCCTGGGATTCTTCATGCTACATAGATCCTGGCACTGCTTCTTTGTGTCCCTCTCTTCCTCATTCCAGCCCTTGCACTTGGTGGCAGGATCCAGCTTCTGGAGGGAGGAGAATGCATAGGAGTAAGGCCCTGTCTCTGGAAGATCCAGTAGGTCTGTAACTATGTAATGATCGAGCATTTCTAGAGAGAGTTCCTTTCATCCACATGGACAGCAAACTCATTTGACCAACAAACTACAAATTGTACAGGAATCACTTTCACCAGCCACTGGAATGAAATACAATAGCTACTTAATGGCTTACATTTACAGTAGGCAACAGGGAGTGATGATACCATGTCCAACTGACATTGTGGGGGGGGATAGCTCAGTGGTTTGAGCATTGGCCTACTAAGCCCAGTGTTATGAGTTCAATCCTTGAGGGGGCCATTTGGGGCAAAAATCTGTCTGGGGGTTGGTCCTGCTTTGAGCAGGGGGTGGGACTAGATGATCTCCTGAGGTCCCTTCTAACCCTGAGATTCTATTCTATGTTTGATTCTATTGTAGGGTGCTTGGAATTGGTCGCAAGGGTTAACACTCCCCCTTCTTGTGAAAAGTGCAGTGGGATTTTATAAGGACCATAGTGGCTGGTTCCTTGGTTTGATGCCTCGCCCAAATGACAAAAGTACTAAACCTTGTGGCGGAAGAGCTAGCAGGACATTCGATCATTTCAATGGCTGCCTGATAAACAAAGGCCATTTTCCATACTGCTGATCTAGTGGGATTTCAGCTATAGAGAGTGTAAGAGTCTCCAACCTGCAATCTAGGGAGAGCAAGCTTCTGTGAGATGCTGAATAAAGTCCTGCTGGGCTCAGGAATTAAATAAATTAATGGAGACATCCCATCTCCTAGAACTGGAAGGGACCTTGAAAGGTCATCAAGTCCAGCCCCCTGCCTTCACTAGCAGGACCAAGTACCGATTTTGCCCCAGATCCCTAAGTGGCCCCCTTAAGGATTGAACTCACAACTCTGGGCTTAGCAGGCCAATGCTCAAACCACTGAGCTATCCCTCCCCCTCTGAATAGGGAATTTTGTCAGCTGAACCATAAACACCTACTGGCTTCCTATAGGTCAGTTCACTGGCTGTAGCATCTTGACTGGAGGATCATAAAATGATCCTTCCAATCCAAGTCAGGTCTAAGCCACCTGGAGAACCAGGAGACTGGCTTGTGGGTGTCAGTCACCTAATAATAATACCCACTTGTTTCATAGCACTGTTCATCAGTGGATCCACAAGTGCTTTATAAAGGAAGTCAGTGCCATTATTCCCTTTTGTTAGATGGGGAAACTGAGGCACAGATGCATGCTGCTTGGGATAGAAATTGGGCAAACATTATTTTAAAGGTCATTTGAGCTTCTGGATTCATATTTCTGCCAGGATCTGACACGTTCTTGTAAGATACACTTTGAACATATGTCGTGTGCCAGTATAAATATTCATTTCGGGCCTGAGGAATTTACAAAGTGGTCTATTGTAGGTTCAGCTGAGGCTCCATTTTGACCACTTTATTAGTTAAACCTGCTGTAAACAAGTCCAGTTAACCATGAGGCAGGTCTGGAGGACAGGGACCATCAGACCACCTGGATGATGGGGAGCTGGCTCTGGGAGATGAGAGGGGTCCCATGATGCTGCAGGGGGGATGCGGGGATCAGGAGTAGAGAGAGAGGCAGGGATCCTATTGATGAGGAGCAGGAGGGGGAAGGAATGGGTCCTTTCCGGGGCCTCTAAGCAGAGTTTTCCTCTCTCACACAAATGCCGTTCAAGGTCCATTCCTCTCTGCATCGGGGTGTCCATCTGTGTTGGCCCGTAATGACCCCCCCCCCTGCACTCAGCTGACATGGAACAAAGATGTTGTGTGCCTGCCTGCAGACACTGCCTGGGAGCTGAGCGTCAGGCTGGGCTCTTTATGACTTGTACGTGATCCCCGGTAATGCACTTGGAACTTACTTAACAATTCTACTGATGACGCTTGAACAGCAGTAGAAAGCAGCTCTCTCTCAGCGCTGTGTCATAGTGGGAATAAAAAGGTAGTAAACATATACTCTTGTATTAAGGCCTGGATCAGGGCACGAATGAGTGTACATCTAGGGGGCGGGGACCCATCTCTTTGTTCTGTGTTTGTACAGCACCTTGCACAGTGAGGTCCCGCTCAATGGCTGGGGCTCCTCACCTTTCAGACAATATTCAAACCACTTAGACATTGTTCATGTAAAGAGGCTGGGGATGGGACTGGTGTCATCTAGGTGGGAAATCTCCAGGGACATCCCAAATTATGTTTGCCTTGTGGTGACGGGTGAGCTGTCAGGATGGGATTTCCACCCTGGATGCACCAGCTGGACTCTGTTCTGGGTGTGGGCTACACGCACAGGAAACGCTCTCACTGCCCTGCTGGGACCCAGAGCTGCCGCTCTCAGGGTGAGACTGCAGCAGACGTTGCTGATCATGGTTTATTTGTCATTTCAGGCCCCGGTCATGTATGGTCACATCACCGTTTATTTCTCTGCGGAGGAGTGGCAGGACCTAGCCGAATGGCAGAAGGAGCTGTCCAAGGACGCGAAGAAGAACAATCGTGAGGCTTTGCTCTCGCTGGGTAATGACTATTGTTTTCTCGTTTATTAGGCGCTGCA